ATTTTTCGCTTCCTGATGAGATCATCAGTTGGACGGTTTTCATAATAGAGACACTTGCTTTTTAATGGTCTCGAAATGCTTTGATTTGTGTTTCTTCTCGGGCATTGCCTTTCCTCGATCATGGTAAGGTATTTTATCAGATTAAAATAAACTGGATATTTTATCTGGCCACAGGCGGATCCAGGACGAACTCCTAGGTGGGTAGGCGAAGTGTCGGGAGTGAGAGGAAGAGATTTGGGCTCCTGGGTTAGCGACGAGGGTCAGAGAAGAGTCCTCTCCCACCCACTGGAACTATGGAAAAGCTAGAAATGCAGTTGTAACACTGCTACTTAGAGTTACTTTAGTTTAAAGTTATTTTTGGCTTTGGTTTACTTTAGTTTTAGCTTTATTTTTGGGCTTTTGCAGCACTTGGGCCTGTGCTGCTGGGGGAAGAAGGAAGCTGGATTCGCCTACATATCTAGCTTATTTCTTTTTTTTTAAAAAAAAATAAAAAGAATGGAAGCATGTTCTGAAGTATCTTCAGAAAAGATGACGTAGTTTTGTGGGATGCATTTTAAGATCGAAGAGTCTGGTCTAGATGTGTTGGTGGATGTGTGCATAGATTGCAGTACTTTCGGCTCTTCACATCAATTGTTTGGGGATGGGTGGCCGTTGATATTTTCTTTGAAAATTTGAAATTGTGCAGCTTCAAAAGCAGCAGCGCTGTGATGATGATGATGACTCTTGTGTGTTGCAGGATCGTTTGCTGTGCATCGAAGATTGCCCGAACAATCGTGCGGTGACGGTGTTTATTCGGGGCGGCAATAAAATGATGATTGAGGAGTCGAAACGATGTATGCACGATGCGCTCTGTGTGGTACGCAATCTGATCAAAGATAATCGAATTGTTTATGGTGGTGGTGCAGCGGAAATTTGCTGCTCAATTGCTGTTGCTGAAGAAGCAGATCGAGTAAGTGCCAACAGCCCCAGCTTCATTTTTTTTTGAAATCCGAAAATTTCAGAATTTCATTGATATTTTTTTTTTCGGGGGGAGGGGGAGGGAGCGAAGGGGGAGAGGAAGACTGGAGAAGAGATTGTGGGAAGGGAGAAGAGGAGGGGGAGGGGTGAGGGACGAGAATAGGGGAAATATGATTTATCAAATCTTTTTTTATAAATAGACTAACAACTCATCAGGTTTTAAAAGCTTTTTTCCCAAGTTTTTAAGTTGTGTATTTAAAATAAATTTTTGGTTTTTATGTGTCTTATGCAAACAGTTGCACAAAATGCATATTGTCACGCTTCTGTCTCTGTGTTTAGATTGCGTGTATGCGTGTGTATGCCTGTGTATGTGTATATTTGTGTGTATGTATGTGTGTGTGTGTGTGTGTGTGTGTGTGTGTGGATGCACGAGTGTTTTTTGTCTTGCACTTTCAGCTCAACAACCAGTAAAGCTAAGAAGCTGAAATTTTGGGGTATTGTTCCCTGGCCACGTGCAACCCCGCAAATGCAA